TATGAAGAATATCAAAAACTTTAGGAGTCAGCTGTCCACGGTAGTCCTTAAGATATCAGCACAATAACACACTCAGCAAAATATTGTCTAATTATCTTTATCGATAAAATCCCAGAAAATATTGAGATATTATTTTTTGTCAATATTGCACACCCCTAGTACTGACACAAAATGATTTGCAACGGTCGCTTTGTCACGCCCAGTGTAGACAGCCTCAAACTGTTGGTTTATGTCTCTTTTTCTTTTCTTTTTTTTGGCTAGTAGAAGTTATGAATGGCCGGTAACTTAAAAATTTAGTAGCCAAATTGGCTGGTGAGTGAAAAAGTTAATTTCAATCCCTGATTGTGACATAGTTCAACTTAAACAGTATTTGTCTTGGTGTGCTTGTTATGCAAGGAATATTTCATGACATGTCACCACCTGGATAAAAACATGATAAAAATGTTATGCATGCTAGATTAACTTTAGAAGACAAATCTGTCACTGAGGTGTGCAAGTCATGACAGATATTTTTGTTCACAACACTACAGATAAGAAAGCTTCAGATTATTCTTACAATTAAATATGAAACATGTAATCTTAAAACTACCAGCTGACTGGTGAGTATTTTATTTACTCACCAAAGTCATTTTACCTTCTTTTTCAACTTGTTTCTTTAGCCTTAAAAATTGAAGCTTAAACTTTAATGAGCATGTCGAAAAATACAGATTATATAATGACCATAAAAAGAAAAGAAGCAATTATGAGCAGTAACAAGTGAGTTGTGGTGAGTGAAAAACATCCCCATGAGAAAAGCACATTTCCATGTTCTCTTCCCACGCCCTGCAAACAGCCAGAGGCTAAACATGCTGCTTGTACACATGCGCAGTCCTGTGACTCAAAAGAGACTCGAACACTGCGCATGTGCTTACAGACTCTAAACATTTCTAAACTAACCATCAATAAAAAAGCATGAGTGTGAGAAAGACTTCAAAATTCAATTGTAAATGATTTCTGCAGTGTCACATTTACTATAAGCTGTTTGTTTGTTGAATGCCACAAATCTAAATGTCCCACTGTTTCTCTTTTTAAACATTTGTTTGCCAGCAAAATTGTATTAAAAATTAACATTCAGTGCCTAACATTATAAACTTCTGTTGCTGTGCTCTTTGTACAGTACGCACTGTGTTCAGATGTGAGGAATGAGACGAATAAATAGTACACTGACAACTGTGGCATGAACACATTAATTGTATTGTTTTGGAGGATACACATAGTAGAGTGCATAAAGTAATCATTTAGATTACTTTATCATTTATTTCCTATGAGATACTGTAGTGGAGTATAGACATGATTCATCTACATGATTTGTCTCTGTCCAATGACATACAAAAAAAAAGATACGTAAAAAGGTAGGCTACATAACATTCATGCACATTCTGTGTGAGTTCATGCATTAATAATCATTCATCTTGTTCATGATATGATGCATTATGCAATGCCGCAATTTACTTACAAACTGCATACATTTCCCTGCATTATGTCATTGTTAGTATAAAATTGACACATAATCAGACGCAAATGATATATCCTTTTTTACAGACAATATATTTAATTTGTTATCAGATCTTTAAAAGCCAGTTGTGCAGCCCACCAATAGCACTAGAGAACCCAGCAGTAAGAGCACCTACTAGTAAATACCAATGCGGTGACCTCCAGCGATAAAATTGCTGCTGGTGTGAACGCCGCTTTGCACATGACTTAAACAACATAGACGTTTATTGTAGGTTATACTTGAAAAACTGTCTTTGTCCATTTAGCAGCTTTCTCTTACTGCGGCAGAAAGAGTGACAGAAAACATCTTTGTAGCAGTCATGCAATTTCCTCCTTGGCTACTTATCAAAAATGAATCACACCAGTGCCGCCATAGATAATTGCCTGCCACATGTAATAAGAATTGATTTCCAGCTGCACATGGTGTGTTTTTTGAATGCCGAAAAAAGTATTTATTATCTTCATCACCTCTCCTTGCATTTTACCTTGCATGACATTCCCTATACTGTGTTCTCTGACTGAATGACCTTCAAGTGAGGAGTCCAGCGGTACAGTGATTACTGATCACATGGTGAAACATCCAGTCACTCACAACGGGAAGGTGTGGGGGTTCTTTTATAGGACACTGAAAAGCTTTCAGACTTGTGCTGGGTTGCCAAGGAGATGTTATTTGAAAAAGAAAGAGGCAGTTTTACAGTAGTTTTTGCTTGTTTTTACAGCAGTTCTCTTTTCTTTCCCTTTTCTTCAGAAGCTAGAGGAAATTTCTTCAGAACATCAACATAGCACACCAGTGAAAGGGTAAGTAAAGGTTTTTGTTTGTTCTGAAATGAATGAAACAGAATGCACTCTCACAATGCACTTGTCTTGATCAATTCACGAGATTCATCACCGTTTGAAGGACAACAAAAGATGGGAGTAATTTTCATTCCCTTTCTAATTTCCAAGCTGTCAAATGGTTTGCACTGATAAGGAAAAAAAATCAATTAACTCAGACAAAACAGCCCAGATAATTGGCTAAATTTCTACCCTTGCAGCGGTTGTGTGCCATTTTTATGCATTCTTGTAACAGCATAACCCATGCCAAAGGGTGTTTCTGCAGCGGCGAAGTCAAAAAACAATGAGCCTTTCAACAAAGTCACTTCCCCCCAAAACGCTGACTGGTTCAGGGTGTACTAAAACATAAACGTCCCAAATAAGGATAGGGTGGGACAAAATTGCGGCTTTCCCTTTCAGTCATCAGACCCCGTGCCTCATCTGTCAGACCGTCACGCTTGTTCGCTCAGTTCAATTCTCATTCCGTTTTTTATCGCAGCCTTGCGGAGCCAGTGCGGAGGAATTATCTGCTGTCAGGTCCTGCGCCGGGCTGATAGGGAAACGCAGCGCACCGAGGGCCACTGCAAGGTGAGAGGGACGGCCGCAGGGGGAAGGGACCGACGATGCCATCTTCCACCATGCAAATGTTTGCCTTCATTCTGGCGGTACTGGGAGTCGTGAGTGCCACGGTGGCCACGCTGCTACCCAACTGGAAGGTGAGCGCAGATGTGGGCTCCAACATCATGACTGCCATCTCGCAGATGCAGGGACTGTGGATGGACTGCACCTGGTACAGCACTGGAGTCTTCAGCTGCTCGCTTAAGTACTCGGTGCTGGCGTTGCCGGCTTATCTCCAGACTGCACGCACCACTATGGTGCTTTCCTGCATGATGGCGACAATGGGACTCTGCCTGGCCGCCCTAGGGCTGAAATGTACTCGCTGGGGTGGCAGCTATCGCTCTAAGGGACATACGGCGATTTCCGCAGGGGCTTGCTTCGTCATAGCAGGGGTCCTGTGTCTGGTGCCCGCATCCTGGTTCACCAATGAGGTCATCACTACGTTTATGGACTCCAAAGTGCCCAAAAGCAGCAAGTACGAGCCAGGCGCGGCGGTGTACGTGGCATTTGTGTCGGCAGGATTCCTTTTAGCCGCAGGCGTAATTTTTTGCTTATCGTGTCCTGGAAGAAGAGGCGGTCCACTGGATTCGGGCTCGTCCCACCCCGACAAGCCAAAGCAGCAGAAGCTGCGCCAGGAGCAGCTGACCCGTGACCAACCGAAACAGCAGCACCTCGAACAGCAGAGTCAGACTGAACCGCCGGAACGAGAGGAGTCGCATCGAGAGAAACTGCAACAGGAAAAGCTACAAGCCGACGATCGTCAGCAAGAGAAGTCGGTGCCGGACAGGTTGAATCTGGAAAAGGACAAACAGTACCACTCTCCATCCCGAACCCGAAATCAAGACCCCAAGGCCGTCTATAGTCTGCACGACTACGTGTAAACAACAATCGAGTATTTAGAGTGTTCTTGCTTATCAGACTGCCTTTCTTTGTGAGCGGCAAAAAGAGGAGGGGAAAAGCAGTGGAGCAGCAGGAGGAATAATGACTTTGATGCCGTTATCAACCCTTCTCATCTGTGCTTTTGCTCACAGCAAATCGAAGCAGTGGAGGTATTTCCAAAGCCCCGGAACAGACAAAGTAAGGATTGTGAATCCTTGGGTACATGGTTTTTATTGCAACTACAAGAAAAAAAGGGGGCCAAATGGTGACGTATCATAAAAATGCAACATAAGAAAGGGGAATTTCTTCAGATATTAATGCAAGGAAAGTTCTGAAGGTGCATTGGTTTGAAAAAAATGAGCATTTTATAGTTGCCCCATCATTAAGCTAACACGCAAACTCTCAAGAGCAATTTTATCAGCCTTTTGGTAACTGGAACCATGTGAGATTAGCAAGTTTTAATTCAGAAGCTTGTAGATGATACATTAGGCAGTATGTGCATGCTGTTTGTAGATAATGCTGTTAATAATGCCGCAAAAAAGCTTGCAGTTGTGAACGGGATAATCAAGCTTGCACCTGAGGATGCTTCACCCCATCAGCTGTCCATTAAATGGTGCGTGTCCTTCAGAAAAGGGATTTTGACATGTCCAGTCCATATTTTTCAAAGAATGGTGATGGGGGGGAGGCACAGCGCCAGAGATCGTCTGAGGTAATGATGCTCTTTGCTTTTCCATTAGGTTCGCTACGGATGGGTGCACAGTGCTCATTTATTGCGAGGAGGCACAGATACACCAACACACACACATACACATACACATAAGCTTTCCTTCCCTCCCTCGTACTCCTGCTAGAAGGGTAATGGGGGCTTGCACCCAATCATCATGATGCTGTGCGTCAGTGTGTCGTGCCTGCAGGAAGTGCAGTCGGCCCTGTTCTAGGGCAAACAGGACGCAGTAACACGCTGTTCACACTTTTGTCGAAAAGTAGAACCAAGGTGACAGAAATCTCAGCGGTGGCTTCGGACTCCCCCGCTGGGCAACAATTACCCGTTTGGTCTGCGTCTCAATTCGGTCAAACCATCTGCAGTATTTTCTGATTGCTAAGCTGTTTTCACTTACAGTCAAGCCTTTGAATGTATTTTTTTTTCAAAGAGTCTGTGAAGACAGTAATGTTTGATATAATGTACCGCATTTGATTCAAGCTAATGCTAAGTGTCATTGTCTGTGCTGTGTCCGTCGTAACGATGGTCAAGGGCTCCTATTGTCTCCAGAGAGATGCCACAGCAAGACATTTTCTGCCTTTCATTTCTGTCTCACATATAAGCACACATACTGCTCTTTGTGTTTGATACGCATGTACAGAATGCTTTAGAAATTGACACAATGGTTGAAAGTGACAATGAAAGAGAGCAACAAGACCATGTTTTAAACAAAGTGCCAATGGTCCATGTCTTGCTTTATTGTGCATGTACTGTAAGCTTGATATAGTTATTGGGGTCCAAAAATCTGAGACCACTGGTGAAAATTATGCTATTTTGCATTATTTTCTAAATGAATATATTTTCCATTATAAATTAAATGAAATTATATCAACAAATTATTATTATTATATTAACAAAGTATATCAGCATAACAATTTAAGTGTAAATTTGAATGTCTGATGATTACGTATCATTTATTTAGAAATAGTGCAGAATAAATATTCCTTCTCAGGTTTTTTGTTCTGATGTTTCTTTGTTTTAAATGTCTTACATTTTTATTTTCAATGACAAAAAGTCTCAGATTTCCATTATGGTCTCTGCACTGTAAACGGTAGGCTATGTTCACACTGAAGTTGAATGTGGCCCAAATCTAATTATTATCATGTGACATATATGGGGTTTTATAAATATAGCCGTTGTATAACTATCACATTGATTCAGACATTTTCAACTCTTCTCTTGCATATTTTTGTATGCGAATACGATTTATTTAAAAAAAAAATGACCAAGTGATTTTGTTGTAAACAGTTTGGGATTTTGCTTCTTGTGATTTTTAATCAAACACAACATTCATCTTATAAGTTATTCTATCGACCTTTGCAGTGAATAATAAAATAATAAATTTCATTATACAAAGTAATATACAGCAGAGTGCAAAAAAATGTTTTAAATATATTTTGATGTTAATAGAAATCAAAACTCTTCTAATGTCCTATAAAAATAGCAAAATATGATATTTTCATTTATATAATAAAATGTGTTGATGTTACGATGAACATGCCAGGTTTTCCAGTGTTTTCCACAGGAGTCACCTATTCAGTCCAGGTCACATGCAAAAAGTCATGTGAACAACTGCACAAAAATGAAGAATTGGGTTTGGTTTGTTGTGTGAACGTAGCCCCAGGAGTGTGTTTATATCAGCACATGTACATGTTTTTTGAGAGATAATGATGGAGAAATACTATTGGATGAGAAATCTGTTACTAAAAACTCTTCATCATGACACAGCGAATGTTGACTACATTGAATGTTGCTTTGTGCTAAATTGATCATTTTGAATTTTCTATTTTGGCTTGACAAAAGGGCTTCATTTAGTCCATTTAAAAACTGATGTGTGGCCAGTAATGATGTGAAACTATCAAATCCAATTAAAGCACATGCCTGTACACTACAGCAGAACATGTATGTTTGTTTGACTCTGGAAAACACAAGTGTAACACTCTGTTCTGTAATTTCTGCCCATTCTGAGCTAATGCTCACATCAATGACTTTTTGTACAACTGGCTCCTCTATTTCACATCATTCCCTCTTTGTTGTGAGTTCGTGATCTGACTGCAAACGCCTCTTCATAATGGTGTCTTGGTTGGCTGCGTCGGCCAGGAGTCAGGCCTGTGTAAATGAGAATCTGCATACTCCTCCGTGAGTGAATCGAAGCATCAAATATGCTCCATTTACACAGCTGACTGCCCTTCACACAGTGCAGCCACTTTTTCACTCAGCATTCATGATTAAGCCAGGCACACTTCACACACCACCTCTTACTGATCACACTAAGGTTAAATCAGCTGTCATATTCATCTGCTACTTTACATGTGCTTTGTTTACACAGATGGAGTCATCGTTTATTCTCGATCACGACACTGAAAATTATTCTACAATTCAAATGCTCAGAGTAAGAGACTCATCAAAAGAACAGAAGCTGTGCCGCATTGTGTTCATGAGCTCTTGGGGATCAGCAACAGTGACATATTCATGTTCCTAATATATGTCTTTATTCTTCTTACATGGCACTTTCCATGAATGCGATGCATCCGAGTTAAGTGTTTCATACTTTAAAAAGAAAAAAAAAAGATCACAAGAAATCAGCATTTAACTCTATAAAGCCACATATCTCATTTTTGATGACATGATATATATATATATATATATAATAACATGATCAATATTTTCTCTACTATGTATACAACCTTCTAAGTTACTACGACTTACAAGAAGGACTCTTTAATATAATTTCCAAAATGTCCACCTCCATAAAGTTTTTTTTTTGGCTTAGATAATTTCAAAATGAATATTTTCCTGATTTAAGCAACCCATGCTTACTTACTATTTCATACATTATTATTATTATTTTTTTTAAGTGGTCTTAATATGATACAGCGGGTATTTTTTTATTTAAATCATCATTTTACGGCATTGTACCATTATGGTCACCACAATAAAAGTGATCATCAAATTATTTAATAATTAAATGAATTAAAATTGAAATATTATTTTACTAAGATCATTTTGGAGTGTGAAGTGATATTTATAATGGCATTTTTTATGCATGCACCCTGCTCTATTATTATTAAAATCTTGTTGTTTTCATTGTTTTATATATACATTGTGCATACAATGTACTACCATCAAATTAAAAGGATCCTTTATGAAAAAAAAAAATGAAATAAACAGAATTGCTTGAAAGGCTTCAGAGTTTATAAATTGTTAAGATGGTTAAGATCAGTAAATTACCACATTACCTGATGTATCAAATATGTGAAAAAACATTTGCTTTTATGTCTAAATGTTTGATTGAAACATCAATAGTTCAATCAGTAGTTTAACTGCTGAATTGAATGAATTATTGAATTATATATTTATTTATTGGCCATTTATAGTATTTTTTAGGCCAACCAGTAGGAACCTATCATGAAACATGGTTTCAAACACAAGTTATTTCATCATTTAATATTTATAATCATTTAATTAGTAACCTCTGCTGTGAACAGTTGAGCTCACCCGCTGCCAAGCCTCCTAAAGCGCACTTATTTCAGACGGGCTGCGTATGAGAACTGCTCCAGCGAGGCTGAACACAAAGGCTTCTCCATCTGTCTCCCATATTCAGCTAAATGATTGAACACATTTAAAAGGGGTCACTTTGCAGGTGTGCTCAACTTGACATTATGACAAATGGAGTCTGACTTCCCTGCAGGCAATAACAGAATCAATTCCTGCGTGTATTCTGCCACCATGTGACAGTTTTCCCTACTTTTTTCATCTATTGCTTTATTGCTATGGGCAACAACTAACACCAAAACCTAAAACAGAGGAGAATGAAATGATATTTAGAACTACAGTATTTAAAAACCAACATTAATAACAAGTGACCGCTCTTATCCGCATAGGTTGTATAAAATATAACTGACTACATACAGTACATACATGTGCATGTGTTTTTGCTGGAAACCAGGTTGTTCCTGCCAGTAACTTATTTGTTTTTCCTCAAAGATTAAGCCATGCAGGTGCAAGTGCTTACAGTCAGTACACTGAAGTTGTAAATGGTTCATTAAATCAGTAGGGAAGAGAAGACCATGACGCATCGATACTTTAAAGAGGATCAATCCTCAATTTAAAATATCAATCCTAGGTTTTATAAGGCATCAAAATTAATGCATAAAGTACACCAATTGATTTATTACAGCATTCTAATAATCAGCATTGATTTTAAACCTATAAAACCTATGTAAAAAGTACACATACATACAAATGTAATGTTAAATAGCTGTAATAATTACTCATTTTATTCTCAAAAGCTGAAAACAAAATCTGGATGAAACATGTATTGTTTAAAATATACATTGTTTATGCTGTATCTATAATAATTCCTGTAAAAGTAACGGTGTGGAATGGAATGCATTATTATGATTGGTAAAGAATTAAAATGGTCACCAATAATGTTAGGGGATCTTGCAGTCTCAAGACTTGCTTGCTACTAAAAGTAGAGCCTAGTGAAAAATAAATACTAAGATGTATTTGAAATACATTTATTTCATGCTAAGTATAGTACAAATACATTTACATATTTATATACGTACTAAAAATACTTAAAGTCTGCTAAATTGGAACAACTAAAACTGTACTTAATGCACTTTAATTGTGCAGAAGTAGTGTTGGAGTCCAACTAAAGATATACTGAAGTATATTTCATTGTGCTAAAGTGGAACTATTGCAAGTATACTTCAGATAGGCTACACTTTAAATATCTCGCATTTTATAGGCCGATATTATTCAAAGATCATATAATACTCATTAATAGTCATATTAAAACACATCTTAGGCTTAATATTAAGAAATGTGTATTGTGCACACAAGTAGTACTCCAAATAAAGTTGACTTATTTGCTTTTTTTTTAGAATTACATTTATTTTAATGAAAAACTGTGATATTATATTTTGGCCTCATTTTTACCCTACTTAAAAAGGTCTTCCATGACAAATTTGTCCTTGCAAGTACAAGAGAAGATGTACCTTCAGCCTCATGTACCTTGTTTCTTGATCAGTCTCGCTTCAAGACTGTGCTGTGTGCAGATGAATCCACTAGAGGGCGAAACAGACTGTGATTTCAACGGTCTGATCTTCAGTTCACTGTGAACATGACAAACTACATCAAGACCAATAACCACAAATATCAGCACGTTTACTTTCTACTGCTGATGAAGCTTTCTGATTTAAAAAAAAAAAAAAAGATTCTTAGTTTCAGTTGAGTTAACAGTAAGACCAATAAATCAATACATACCCGGTCCATACCTCATTCCTCAGTACAGTCAGAACCACTTGATTGTCTCTTCATGGGGAAAAAAAAGAACAAATAGATTTGGTTACTTGAATAAAAATGCTGCTGGAAAACATTAAAAGTATTACTCATTGCTAGTGATGGGTGCTTTTAAAAACACACCTTCATGAAGCTTTTAAAAAGATACTCCACCCCAAAATGAAAATGTTGTCATTAATCACTTACCCCCATGTCGTTCCAAACCCGTAAAAGCTTCATTCGTCTTCGGAACACAATTTAAGATATTTTGGATGAAAACCGGGAGGCTTGTGACTGTCCCATTGACTGCCAAGTAAATAACACTGTCAAGGTCCGGAAAAGTATGAAAGACATCGTCAGAATAATCCATCTGCCATCAG